CCCACAGCCTCTTCCTCCTGCTGCTGCACCCACTGCTGCACACTCTGGGCCTCACTGCTGGCACCATGCAGCCCCCTCGCTGCTGCCTCCTCCTCGGCCTTCTCTACCTCTTCCTCCTCTCTGGGACATGGGCAACCCTGCAGGGTAAGTGGCAGCCTTGCCTCATCCAGCTGCTCCCATGCCCCCGTGGGACTCCATGGGCAAGAGGCTTCCTGCTCCCCACCCACTTTTGGCTCTTGCTTCCTCACCCCTCCTTGTCCCCTGGCTCCACACCTCCTCCTCGGCAGGGATGCAGCCACCTGAGGTGGGTGCAGGGGTGGGAGCCAGGGCTGCCAAGGATGAAGGGAGCCTGGAGGGAGCCCACAGATTCCTGCAACCTCAAGGACCTGTCCCTCAGCCCCTCCACTTTCCCTGTCCCTCTCCTCCTTGCCAACCCCTGTCTCACATAGGGACCTTCACTATCCGGCTGCTTCAAACCTCTACCTTCCAAAACACCTCCTTTGTGGACACGGAGGGGATAGGCCTGCTGGAGGACATCGAACTTGGGTCTCTTGATAAGCACACCTGGGACATCCACTTCTGCCAGCCATGGGTGCTTCCAGCCCTGTCCCGCAGTGAGTGGGACACCACTGACAACATGATCAAGATCTATATGCATCAATTCAACCGCCTCATGAATGAAGGCGCCATACAGAAGGATGTGCCCTGTGAGTATCCACTCTTCACTGCGTCCCCTCTCTAAACAGCAGCTGGGCAGTGGGGAAGGATCTGGCAAGTGCTGGCACTGATCATGCCTGCAGGAAGGCAATCCCAGCCCCTCATGCAACCTCTCTCCCCTCTCGGCCCCTCCAGACCCCTTTGTGGCTCAGTCCATGGCAGGCTGCAAGCTCTACCCCAACAGGACCTCTCAGGTCTTCGTCTATTTGGGCTACAATGGGCAGAACTTCCTCAGCTTGGACACAGACAATGACACCTGGACCATCCCCCAGGACACCGGCCTGGCACGGTACGTCAGGGATGTCCTCCAGAATGAAACCACCCTCATTAAGGAGGTAGAGGGCATCTTCAACAATACCTGCATCAATGCCATGGAGATGTTCCTGAGTTACGGGAGGGCAGCTCTGGAGAGACAAGGTGAGACCACCCTGACCCTGCCACAGCCACCCCAAAGCCCTGGGGCCAAGCCGTGCCCAACCAGGGCTTCCCCCACCCCTTTGCACCCACCCCCCAGAGCTGCCCGTGGCCACGGTCTT